TTTGAGGCCAGATAATATGAAAAGGGGAAGCTTGAGACAAATCCTCCAATTACCAATTTATTTTTGTATTATTTTCTAAAAATCAGAAGTCTATTATGAGTGTTTTCTGAGTCTTTAAAAATCACTTAATGTAGAAGTACATTAACTTTTAAGAGTTGAGGACAGAGCCAGGCATGGTGGCACACATCTATAATCTCGGCATTCAGGAGGTTGAAGCAGGAGGGCTGCTGGGTTTGAGACTAGCCTGGACTACATAGTGAATTCAAGGCCATCCCATACTACAAAACTGTCTGGAAAAAAGAGGGTGGTGGTGTAAATTACGTTTCTAACTGTCTATTTTCATGGTGATAAAAGAAAAAGGAAACGAAATGTTTAAGAACTCCTAGGTGTTGATCCTGTGCTATGAATGACCTAAATTCATCTTTATACAAATTCTATAATGCAGACATGATTATGATCATTTCAAAGATAAGCCAACTGAAACTCAAGAGTTCCTACAGGCAACCAGCAAAACTAAGTAAGGTTCAAAACAAAGTCTGTACAATGGCCAAATCTGTTTTCATAGCTACTCAAAACACATCCAGAAGGGTAACAATTACAAATTTCTACCCTGATGTTCTATTTGGTTATTCACAGCCTCAAATTCTGTATTTCAGAGGAGCAGGAGGTACTCAATTTCCTTCCATGCCTCGCTCCTCTGATAGCCATGTTGCTACTCAACTTGAAACCAATCTTACCAAGGTCATCCATGGTGTCTTTACTGCTAAACTCACCACAGTCACTTCTTTTGTCAACACTAATTACTTAAAACCCCTTCTTAAAACCGTTTTCTATGGTCTTCCCTTTTTACTCTCTTGCTTTCCTCCCATTTTCATGATCAATTCATAGGTCTTTTTAAAAATATGTGATTCCTAACTGACAGAGTGGGCTCCATCTCCTACTCAGGGATCTCTTAGGAACACTAGAACCAGATACTTGTACCTTAATTTCCCATTGGTATCTCAAAATCAACACATACTAAACTGAACTCACCTTCCGTCCCCTGTTTTACTAGTGTTAGTTAATACTTTGCTTCAATTACTGGTCTACTTTACTTTCTAAATCTAAAATTTGACTGTTACTCTCAATTTTACTTTCAGACAGTTAAAGGGTCACCTGAATTATTTATAGCCTACAACTGCATCTCCATCCCCAAGGTTTCCCATAATCCGTTCTTCCTCGTTAAAATTGTTCAAATAGCAGATCTGATTATATTATTCCTCCCCACCCCATCTTGCTTAAACTTTAAGGACTCGTTATTTATTTATTTTTGGTCTTTTTCTTTTTTATCGGTACCGGGGATCGAACTCATGACTGCCTGCTTGCAAGGCAGGCACTTATGCCACTGAGCTAAATCCCCAGCCTGCTATGGACTCCTTATTTAACCAGGGGTGGCAGTGTAAGCCTGTAATCCCAGCAAAAAGGAACCTGAGGCAGGAGCATCAAGAATTGAAAGCTAGGCTGGACTACACAGTGAGACCGTCTTAAAAAAAAAATCAACTAACCACCCAAGAAAAGGAGACAAGACTCCTTGTTGGCTTCGTATTAAGTCCCAAATCCTTTTATCTATAAGATAGGTAGAGATCCTGGCTAGTTCCTCAGTTTAGTATTTTTGCCCCTCCAGTTTACACTGTTAATAGGTAAACTTTCACCAAAAGGCTTCTGCAGTATTCTCTTTCATCCTATCTGTCTGTCAAAATTTTCATCCTGTCTGTCAAAATTTTAAGCCAGTTACACAGCTTTGCAAACTCCAACTGCACTAAGTCGCTGGTGCCAGAATAAATAAAAGCGCTTTTTCTTTAAAAAGACATCTTGCCCTGTTTTTTGGACAACATTTTGGAGTCTCATTTTTGGGGTACAACACTAAAATCAAATCTCAACTCACACAGGAAGAAAAAAATTCATTTCAAAACTTTTTCATTTTTCTAATTTAATAGAAATAACCAAAACAATATGGTTTTCAAACAAGGCTTTAAACTAATCTAATACAACTTTCTACAACACATTCCAGAGCATTATAACAAGAATTATTTACAGGCAGCTAACGTATTAAATAACCATGAAAAGAAAAAAAATTTGCTTTTATTACACACCAGCAAAAAACACAAGAACATAACAACTAGAAACTGCAACCTTGTTTTAAAAAATTAAATATGATTATTTAGCGAATACAATATCACAGAAACAGCACTTTTTTAAAAAGAATCATATTGAAGGGTTAGTTAACTATGTGCAAAAATAACAGTAGTAGTAGTAATAATAATGAGGGGAGGACACCAGTTGAAGCACTGGAAGAAAGGGACTAATAAGGCTATGCATTTAACCCTTTTGCATTTAGTATGTCTACATAGAAAATTAACACGCTTCCAATTGCACAGATCTTTTTTTTTATAGGCTATGTACATGTTTCATTGTTTTAAAACATAGTAAATGCCTACATTTTTCAGATCAGGAGCAGACATGCATTCCATTCTTAAGGATGAAATTTTGGCCATAACTGAATGGAAACATTGCAGTGGCACTTACAAATCATTTTGGTGCCTTCCCAGATATAGATTTGGTGAATTTAAAATAACAGCATTTTCAATTTTTAAAGGTTACTTGTTAGAAAAGGGCTAAACTTAATTTTATACATTCTGTAGTTTGATATGACACATATGCCCAAAGTAACTTATTTCCGAAGATAATTTTGTTTCTAAGATACAATAAAAATATAGAAAGGATCATGTAAGAACCATAAGAAACTAAGATGGAAGAAATGCATTTTGACCGAGTAAAACATGCATTTGGCCAAGTAAAAGAAGCAGTTATATCTAAGAGTACATGTTGAAATCTGAAATGTCTATGTAAACTGTGGCATATAAATTTTTTTCCTTAAAAAAGTACCTTCAATTTTTTTACTCAAACACTTACTTTTAAAAAAATATGCAACTTTCCCCAATTTTTAAAATAAAATGCCACAATATATTGTTATTACCTCCAGCATACATTTAAATTTCTTAATTGTTTTAAAAGATAAGAGTGGGTGATATGCATACAAACTTTCCTATAAAATCACCATCCCGGAGAGGATTATGACATGCTATTAGGCAACAGACTTAAAGCAGTGTTATTGCTTTATCAAGGAGGAGGTAACTGGGAGGGAAAAAAATTAACATCTAGGTCTGGTACATGATCCCACTGTAATATAACACCTAGAAAATCTTCAATCACCGTCAGCAGATAATTAATATAGGTTGCATAAATTAAGAATTCCTGATATAAATTAAGGAATTTCATTTTTTAATTGAGGGAGTTGGGTGGGCAGATTTTTATAAAATTACCGATCCAATGTGGAGTATGTAGATGAGCAGTGCTGACTTTGACAAGAAATGAGATTTTTATATTTCATGTGTTATATGTAAGGGTGGATACAGTATGTAAAGGCTAAGAGAATGGGTCATAGCACCTACTCCCATTTAGACAGTAAGAGACCCTTCAGTAATACATGGTAGGCCACAACCCAAGAGCAGAGTTGGAAAATTTGAATCTACAGGCTTACTAACACTAATGACTAACATGGCAGGATACTGCTGAGATAACTGATAAATCTACACAATTCAGACACTTTACACCATTATTTCTTTTGATTAACTGAAAAATCTCAAAACCTGTTAAAATTATCTGTAATTTCCTTGTGTAACAGAGAAATCAGAAAACACCAACTATTTCAAGGAGGATAATTTCACTGGTAGATTTAATGCCTTATTATGTTTCTATAACAATGCTCTGATGTTTGCATGACATACTTGGAAAATTTCACACAATGCACCTTGCAAATCAACTCCTTCACTCTGAACTGGCTGAGCCAGGCGCTGAAAAACACAAACTTAGGTCAGAATACACTGAGGAACGTGTAAATTTTTCTGATGGTAGAAGTAAACTGAAGTGTGGCAAAAACATAGAAAGCTTTTAAGGAAATACCGTAGTATAATATGGACTTTCCTACAAATCAAGGACTTTCCTACAAATCAAAAACACTAGCTCTTACCAAAGAATACAAATGTGCAAGTATATCAGAACAACTGACTTTAGGAATTGATATACTCTTACCTTTTTAAAACACAAATTACTACAGAAAACATATAAAATAACAATGTCAACTTAAATTTTATAATTTTAACCAGTTAAATTAGAGCTTAACAAATCAGCTTAGAAATCACTGATCAATGTGCAAGAAAAAAAGTTAAAGAAATTTAAAGAGAACATCTTTATTTAACAGTGGCATGCTGACAGCTATTATGTTAACATCAATTCCTCAGCAATAAGAATTACCTTTTGTTAATGGAAATGGTGTCCTTTAAATGTTGACAATAAAATGCTTTTTGAATTGAACAACTAAACCAATCTTAAAAGAAACAAAAACTCTAATATGAAAATGTTTTTAAGGGAGTACATGATTTTTTAGGGCTCCAGGTACTGAAAAATATTTAGTTAATAAAATCTGTTTCTCCCTCCCACTTGGCAGAGCCCTCTTATGACTTATTACCTAAGAATTCTGAAAAGTATTAACATGAAGAACAAATACAAAATAAAAGAGCTCAATGGCTTAACAAAGTCATAATGCAATTCTTCATTTTCCAAAACTGTGCCCTTAGATATATGTCTACAACATTAACTGAAGTCACAGATGTTGTGGAAAAGAGACAAATAAAAGCATTTTAAAATTATTTTCTTCCTCCTTTAAAAAAAAAAAATCTTAGGTATTTAAAATTTCAGTAAAATGATAAAACAGTTTGGTATATGTTTTAAAGCTTAATTTATAACAGAAAAAAAAGCAACTAAAAGAAAATCAGAAGATAAAGTAAAAAGAAATAATAAAATCAACACTGTTTAAGTACACCACCAGAAGGTCTGAATCATATTCCTATTTATCCCCCAATACTTGTTAAGAAAAGAAAAACCCAAACGAATCTGTATAATAATTTTTTTAGAGCACTTTATTTGATTCAATATGCACTAAAAAATATTTACTTCTTAAGACAATTATGTCAAATAATGTTCTGAGTAATCTACGGTCTGAACTGCTTAGCTGAATTTTTTAAAAAGGCAAATGATTTGCCACAAATCTGCTGACGTCTGAAAAATATCTAATGGCAAATTCCTCTATTTTGGTCACTTTATATTCTAATGTGGCTATACAAAAGGAGGACTAAAATTTTTAATTCAATGTAAGAGAAGCCTGTACACAGTCTAGAACACACATCTTGAATGTCAGGATCACAAATGAGAAGAAAAATGAACCAGAGCCAAGTTGGTTTATCTGCCTCAGGTACTATAATCAGGACAGCAAAAGGTGGGTTTACTCCAGTAACCATTCAAGTGGGGATTGGCTCATTTTCAGGATTTACTTACATGTCTCACTTCTAAGTCCTTTAAGCCCCGAGTCCATGCAAATGTCCCACTTGGTGGACAGATGAGTAATATAACCCCACCGGGTTTATTTCAATGTTTTGATATTTTAATAATAAGCTGCTTCTGAAGATTTTGAGAAGTCTGTTCTCTATTAAAATAAGATAGAACTTCAAAATATGAATGTGAACATTAGAAATAGACAGCATATATTACAAATCCATTCTTGATAGGAACATTAGTAAGAATACACATTAGCTTAAAAAACAGCCTCAGCAAATGTTGCCGATCTGCCAGAAGTTTTAGTTCATTATTTACAAATAAGACAAAGTGAAATACAGAAAATTTTACACATTTGGTAGTTGACAGATTACTGTTTGCCAATAGTGGTCTATCGGAAAACTGTTAGGAAGGAAGACTGGATAAGAGCCAGTTGTCACCTTCTCAATCAAATTTGAATATACAGAAAACAAGATTAATTTTAAAACAAACATTCTGTCTTTCACAGGAATAACTGTTATGATCACATGATTTGACTGGTAAGTGCAACTGTGTGAAAATATTTTCTGGAAATGTGTATTGTAGCTCTACATGATCTACTACAGAAAATTGCCATTTTCACTTCAGTAGACCACTGAGGGCAAAACAAATGTTTATATTTCCTAGATCATATGTATAAATAAAAAATAAATGTACTGTTGAATTCTCAACAGCATGAAAATGAGAAAAAATATAATGGCATGATTCAGTGCATATTTCCACTGACAGTAAATAAAATCTGAGCTACTTTTAAACTTAAAAAACCCCAGTATATTACATGTGTGAAGTAGATGCTTATAAGCTTTTTTAAACTAATTGCACTCTAGTCCAAAGACAATTTATCAAGCAACATGAGCCTTGTGTATTTACTTGTACACCCAGTATCCTGCACCAGTCAATACCACGTGATCAACATTTGCCACTTCTAACAAAGAACCATCCTGGTTTAGTAACAAATTCTCAAAAGTCATTTCATTTTTTTTCTTGTTTTTACTTTAAAGTTGCAAACACAATTCTCTTCATCTTTCTTTTCTTTTTTTTAAAGAAATCTCCAGTTTTTATTTCTTCCATTTTGCTCTTTAACTTCTGAAAAATGAAAATGTTTGTTTTGTGTACTTTTAACAGTCATTGACTGCAGATTTTTTTTCCTTCACCTTTCTTGACAAGAATGTTGTCTGTCCATTATTTCAATCTAATACTGTGTAAAAACTATCAGGTTCTTCAAAGGAGATGCCTACTAAAGGCAGGATATAGTCCAGCAACACTTAAATAAAATGCTTTTTTTCTTCTTTTTAAAACAACTGCTTTAAGTCCATGTTAGTTTACTTTATATGTACTGGTCTCTCATCTGACTTTAGGCGTTTTCTGCGAGGCTGTATAAAGTCTTCATCAGAGTCCTCAGTTACCTCACCATCATCCTCTTCCTGCTCAAACTCTGGCAAAGGTGCGAAGGTCCTGTCTGAGTAGATCTCTGTGAGTTTATCTTCAAAGTACAATGCAACTGCTTTCCCTGCCTGAGCTACTTCTGAATCAGCCTGCAAGCAAAAGATAGGAATATTCACCTATTGGTAATGCATATTCCTTCACCAAGTTTGCATGGTCTGAAAAGCTTACCTTCAAATTAATCTCTTGTGTGTCTGCATAAACTTGAACAACTTTCATCATCTAAAAAGGATACCAGAGTCAAAAAAAAAAAAGGGAAATTATAATCCTTTCTAAAGTTATAAGATTGCATAGGATTGGTGACGAAAGTCAACCATACTAGGGAGAACAAATTGCTATAACCAGATTAAGTGCTTTCTAAGGTTCTATAGAACACAAAATCACTTTCTTTACCAAGTTCTGCTAATAAAGCTTCTGAGAAATCTTAATAGTTGTCTCATTCCAAATTAGTGAGGTCAATTTTAGTAACTGAGATTGGTCTAAATACATCAATTGACTCAAGAGAAAGAGATTTATAAAATATGATAAAAGAAATATTTAAAAAACTGTCAAAATTTTTGTAAAACAATCAGAATTCTACCCCTATGGAAATATGTTAACCACAAATTACTTAACTATTAATAAATCAAGTAAAATGAGCCTTCTTTTCAACTTTTTATAGTTCATAAAAGCATATTTATTTGAAAACATCTAGCAGCATTAAAAAATAACACAAAAAAATAAATTGTATTTCCTAACTTTTAATTCACTTTCTGATACACTGCTATAAAAGGGACTAGACTTTTCATTTATAAGAATTTTATTTGTTTATTTAGGTTTTTTGAGACAGAGTCTTACTATGTAGTTTAGGCTGGCTTTGAACTCACTGTGTAGCCCAAATTGGCGTTAAACTTGTGGCAATCCTCATACCTTAGCCTGCCAGGCATAGAATTTCTGACATGGGCTACCATACCTTGGCAAAGAATTTTAAGTAATATAAAATCATATGATACCCATATTTCATCAGCAATAAATACTTTAATTATTATAATCTTTATAAAGATTTTATGGATTCTCATTGAATTTTTTCTTCTCCTTCAATTAAAATTTTCTGTAACAGTAAGACTTGATTTAATCCAGACACAAAAATTAATTTGCCTGACAAAAGTATGTATCACATTTCCTGAGGCATGCATAACTCATCTTATCCTCAAAAAAAAAAAAAAAAAAAAACCACCGAAAAGAAACAAAGTGCAAGTTACATATGTTTTTTAATTTGAAAGTTACATTTTTATCATTAGAAAATTTCCCTTATACTCTGGTTACTGTTCAAGATGAGTCACCAGAGATGAGTTTATGATTTTAAGACTCCACATTTATGTGGTCAATAATAAAATCTTAGAACACCTGGCAAATACCTTTCCTAGAAGCAGTAAAAATGTGAGCTATTTATACTTATAACATGCAATATTTACTTAACTTCAGATTGCTTTCCATGCTTAACCCAAGCCTCAAACCATTTAAGAAGGAATAGTCAATAGTAATTCTTAATATATTGTATTTAAATATATACTCCAAATTATACATAATACATTTTCTTCTTTGGAGCTGCAAAATCAAATTTTATTTTTAACAGCATTGAAGTAGAAAAAAAAATTTTAATCAAATCAGAAAATTCATTCAGCAAGAAGAAAAATCTAAAAATCAGAACAAGCAAACAAAACTAATAAATCAATATTCTATAGGTTGGAAGCTAACATACTTCATTGAACCTTTCACAGTTCTTGAAGATCAAACGGACATCAGCCACAAAATCATCTGGAATTTGATAATGTTGGGAATGTTTCTTCTGAAGCTTCTTTTTCACAGTGGATAAATCCATCGGTTTCTTTATAATTTTATAGTAGTTTGGTATCTAAAATAAAGTAAGAATAGATTAGAGCTCTCCAAAAATGCTAATGGTTTAATTTGAAAATATATAGCAAATCAAAATTTTAGGGGCATAGTAAATGTAATTTAAATCCTTTGTCTCAGTCATTATGAAACCCAAATCTTGCAAAATATGTGCCAGTCTCCATGGTTACCAGAGTCCTAGTAATCAGCTAGAGTAGTCTACCAGTAGACTTAAAGCCACATTTGGCTCATCAATATTTTGACTCCTGATGTGTTTTTTGAAAGGAAAGGAAAAAATTATGAAATATGTACATTAATGATATAAATTAGAAACAATTTATCATATAATATTCTATTAACAGTTCTGGTATGCAATAATATCTAATAACAGATGTTTCAAACTTGCCTCAGCCTCTGACTGTTGGGATTTTTTTGTATTTTATTTTATTGGTACTGGGGATTGAACTCAAGACCTCATGCATACCAGGCAAGCACTTGCGCCGCTGAGCTAAATGTTCAGTCTGCATACCATATTTTTAGTCTACTTAATGGAAATTAAGAACTTTTAGTTTTTCTTTTACTATAATAGAGACATTTATTACTTATAAAACCTTCCTGTAGAATAAACAAATAGTACTGACTTGCAAAATTTCCCAGGTGTCTTTTTTTTAATTTTGACTGTGTAACAAGGCTTATAACTGCAAAGTTACTGCAAAAGACTTAATTGCACACTTTCATTCAATTAACATTTACAAAGAGATCACTTTCCAAGATACAGAACAAAACTAGAATCTTAGAAATAATTTAGCCAAATACTTCTATTACACAGTTAAAAAAGAAAAGGCAGAAAGTATGTAATTTGTCCATTTATAAAGCTGGCCGAGGGCCAAGGATTTAGCTCAGTGGCATAAGCGCCTGCCTGGCAAGTATGTGGTCCTGAGTTCAGTCCCTGTAACAAAAAAAGATAGCTGATGGCAGAACCATGAGAGTAACTTTTCAGACTTCTAGCTCAATATACCTATTACACTGTTTCTTTTATGCTGATCTTCAAAAATGAGCACAGAAATTACATTAAGTTCTCATCAAGGAACAAAATGTCTTCAAATGAACTTTAATTCTAACAGATGAATCTTTAGCTCATAAAACTTCTGGTTAACTAATAAAAATTTACTGTGTTATCAGGTACTATATTAAGAACTTCACACTGATTATCCTGTGTAATCTTCAGAGTAAACCCAATGAGGTTAAGAAACAGTATCAGAATCATTACATAATGTGTACATGTATCAAATTACCATTGCATATACCAGAATTTATACAAGAAAAAAATTTTTTTAAATGAAAGGAAGCGGGGGTGGGAGAAAGCAAGTGAGCGCAAGCACAAGAGGTGGGATGAGCATGGTGGTGAATGCCTGATCGCCAGCACTCTGGAGCTGAGGTAGGATGACCACTCAAGAGTTCAAGGCCAGCCTGAAGCCTGAACTACATACTGAGACCCCGTTTCAAAAAACAAACAAACAACAACAAAAGGGGGTGGGGGGACACAAAACAAAAGCAAAGAGGAAAGAAAAAGAAAATAGAGGGGAGGAGAGAGGAAAGAGGGTAGGGAAAGGGGATGAAAAAGGGAAAGGGTTATTACCAAACAGGGAAGAGGGCAAGAATAGGTATTGATTGAAAGGTATTGAATTGTAGTTAAGACTGGAGAATTAACTTTAGTGATCTACAGTATCTATGGTACTACATGGTGGCTATAGTTAATATTGCTGAGAAGGATTTTTAATAGTCCCACTACAAAAAAAAAAAAAAAAAAGCTACACTGATGAGGTAGCAGATGTGTTTACTGACTTGACTATATTCATAATGTGTACACAAATCAAAACATTAAATTATACCTTAAAATATACACAATTATTTGTCAACTACAAACACTATTTTAAAATCAAAGAAGTGGGTATTAAGTCTCAGAGAGGTCAAGGAGCTTATTCAGAAAGTCTGTTTTAATTCAAGCCCAGTCCAAGGCCAGAGTTCACAGTCAAGTATTATACACAACTTTACCAGTGAGATAGGTAGTACTGAGTCCAACTCACCGAAGCAGGAACCGGCTCCTGGAATTCAATACTTAATTCATGGCAATAGAGATAAAGCAGAAGACGTTCACATTTCTGGTCCAAGAAAGAACAGGAAAACATAAAGTATTTTGATCCCTAAGAAAATATTCTTCAGAGTAAGAATGGTATTATAAAATATTACCACAACAAACTGAACATCAGCCTCCTATATACTAATTATCTATCTAAATACAAGAACTCAAAGAAAACCATCTTGCTTCCCATTTAATTGAGACTATGTTCTGTTCTACTTCAAATAAGTGTGCCTCTATCAGTTTATCTATTATTTAGCCTTGGTTTTTACCTAAGTGGAAGGGAGTCAAAGCAATACATAGCACTTTTGTGAAAAAAACTTACAGATTACCTGGTAATAAATAAGTAAATAAATCATCACTGTTGAATCTCACTGTAATTTTCTGATGCATGTGAGACAAATGTTATCCCCTTCAAATGACTTCACACATTTCCAGCTCAAAAAAATGAAAGCTCTGATTTTTCTATACAATTAAAAATAATTTTTCTTACACAATCAGTAACTTGAAATGCAGTTTACAACTGTTAACTGTTAATGTCTACTTACTTAACGTTTTTTTTAGATAGGGTTTTTTTTTCCAAATTTTTTTTCTTTTTCTTTTTCTCTTTTTATCGGTACCGGGGATCGAACTCATGACCGCTAAATCTAAATCCACTGAGCTAAATCTCCAGCCTCTCAGTTAGGGTTTTGCTATGCATAGTATAGGTGGTCTTGAGGTGGTCATCTCCTACGTCAGGCTCCCGAGTCTTGGAACTATAGGCATTTGCCCCCATTCTCAGCTTCAACCCCCTTTTAAGGTCAGTTTGCACATCCTAAAAACACATCTACTCTTTAATAGATACTGGAAGGATTTTTGCAAGTATACACATTAAAGCTAAACTAAACTATAATGACTACTGAATTATGTGACATTTTGTCTCTAAAAATCAGACCACAGAACAAATCAATAGAACTCTGAAGTGAGAAAAGGATCCTGAATTTCAGTTTTAATATGGAAGGCTACTACAGATTATTAAGCAAGGAAGTGATTGATTTATCTACTTCTTTAAAAAAAAAGAAGATTCAGTATAGAAAGACAAACTAAAGAGAAGAAATAGGGAGGAGAGTCACGAAATTATTATTGTAAAAGTCCAGGTAAGACTATGCTTAGTGTCTAGGGTAGTAATGATATGGGCAGTAAGAGAATGGTGTCATAGTCATGCTTCTTTTCTAATAGGTTTCCAGCATACTCAAAAGGTGAATGGCACTGCCATTTAATAATGAAGGGAGCAACACATTTTTAAATGTTAACTGCTTGTGTTTCTTATTTATTTATTTGGACACAAGGTCTCATGATGTAGTTCTGGCTCTCCTCGATCTCACAGTGATCCTACTGCCTCAGTCCGCCAAAGTTCTAGGATTATAAGCATGTGTCACCACACCTGGCTAATTGCTTATTTTTCTTTCCTTTTGCTTTTTGAGACATGGTCTTTCTATGCAGTTTAGGCTGGTCTTGAGCTCACTTTGAAGCTCTTGAAATCACAACGATCCTCCTGCCTCAGCCTCCCAAATGCTGGGATTACAAGTGTGCACCAATGCGCCTGGCTTTTTTCTTTTTTTGGTATTGGGAATTGAATTCAGGACCTTGTGCTTGCCAGGCAGGTACTTGTGCTGTTGAGCTACATCCGTGGCCCCAAATGCTTGCTTTCTGAGGATGACTAAAAATCAAGATTTTTGTTGGGACATGTTAAGATTGAAGGAGCTGAATCTAAAAGCCTAGAGCTCAAGACCGATAAAAATTTAAAAAATCATCTATATACCACCTGAAAAAAAGTACCATCTGAGAAGTAAAACTGCATCAGTTTATGTGTATATTACACAGAGAAAAAATATATAGTTAACTACAGAAAGCCTAATAACAAATCAACTTATTTGACACTTACCCTTTGGTCCACCGGGCTTAATCCCTGTACAGTCTTCCCCTTCTTGCTGTGTTGCAAATTATCACAGTCATATTCAACTTCTGGCTTCCCAATATCTCTGCAAAATGTGCATATCCAGTCCCCACTAAAGAGGGAAAAACGTGATCAGACTGTGTAATTTTGGGGTGGGAGTAACTGGGGATTGAACTCATGATGTCACAGTTGCCAGGCAAGCACTTAAGCCACTGAGCTAAAGCCCTGGCCCCTGTCTGTGTAATTATTAACAAAGGATACTACTACAGAAAGGGCAGTTTCCTACATGAAATCAAAGTCTCTAGTTTTCTATTTTTTTTTTTTTTTAAGGAAAAGGAAATCCTGTACATGTCAAATCTTTTAGTTGTGTGATAAAAACTTCCCAGAGCTTTTTTCAGGTATGCCCAAGAGGCTATACTGTGGAAAAAATATAAAGTGCATCTCTCTATTAAACACAGTACGAAAGTGATGAGCAGCGTAAGGCCTAAGACCAAGTTTTTCAGGTCCCTGAAATATCACCACATGGACCTAATTCCCAAATTACAAAAGAGCAGAGGAGCTAAGTGTGGTGATACATACCTGTAATCCAAGCACTCAGGCAGCTAAGTCAGAGGATTGTGAGTTTAAGGTCAACCTAAACCTCATAGTGAGATTCTGTTTCAAAAAAAACAGGTGGCTGGGCACATGCCTGTAATTGTGGCACTCTGGAGGCTGAGGTGGGAGGTTCACCTCAAGATTGAGGCTAGTCTGGGAGACACAATAAGTTCAAAGACAGCTTCAACTGGTGAGACCCTGCCTCAAAAAATCAAAACTGAAAAACAAAAACAAAAACAAAACCCCCAGAACCCAAAGAGTAGAGGGTATATGGAATATGTGAAAAGAGTATAGGTTCTTTAAATCTTCTGAGCTGTTTTGGTATGTATTTAACATGTCAGCATTAACTTAAAAATACGCCAAAAATAATTCCATGCTCTGTTCATGTAGTCAAAAAACTGAATATACAAACATATCCCGCAAGGCACAATCATATGTACAAAACTCAGGTAAAATTATACTTTTTTTTTTTTTTTGTTTTGGAGGTGGACCAAGAATTGAACTCATGACCTCATACTTGCCAGGCAGGCGTTGTGCTGCTGAGCTATATCCCTGGCTGTATTTTGTATTTATCAGGATTTCTATAAAATTTGAAATTTCAGAGCTAGGTGTGGTGGCACTCAGCTGTAGTCTCAGCACTTAGCAGGTTGAGGCAGGAGGATCACCATGAGTTCGAGGCCAGCCTGGGATACAAAGTGAATCTTAGGCCAGTTTGAACTGTGAAAAGTGAAACTGTCTCAAAAAAAAAAATAAAAAAATCCAAAATGACTTACTCAGACATATACGCAACAAATAAATACATCTACATAGATGCATACACTTGTAAAATCTAGGGATTGGACCAACTATCTGCTGTCAACACTTTATAGGCCCTTCCAAAGTTATGTCTTTACAAGAAACCATTCATTGGCAAAATCCTGATGTACCAGATGTTACAACCCAAAGGAAACAAAAATTTCACATGCCTTAATTTCAAAACAAAAGTGCCAATATGTTTTTTCCTGAAAGAATAAAAAGGTCCTTTATTATATCTCTAGCAAAATTATTATACCTTCTAGGATCTAGTTAAGAATTATAATTCAGAAAAACATTCTAGTACTGTTTATGTTTTTTTTTTATCAGTTTTCTTCTCTTTTGTTCCTGAGGATTGAACTGGATGAAACAGAGAGTTCTTTTAAACTAAATTCTACTGATTATAGACACAGACACTGATGTCTGAAAATCAGTGAGTTGCCCATCTGTGTTCATTATAGAATTACAACCAGACTAAAGGTTTTTATGATTTAGTTCATTGTATTTGTTCTACTTTACAATCTATCATCAGCTTGCTTTGGGTGCTAAAGAAACTATTAATATTGTGAAACTTCAAACCATATTTAGCAGTCACCAAGTCAGTATGAAGACCAAACTCATATTCTCCCCCAATCTCTTTACTATTTATCTTTATCCCACGTTTTTCTCATCTACAAAAGGAATCTGGTAACTATCCATTTCAAAATTATTGAATGAAAAGATATTTCTTACCAGTTGATAAAGGAAAAGTCTGAGAAATCTGCACAGTGCCGAAGACACAGTACCAATTAACTGTTTATAATGTAACGAGGAAACTATTCTCTCCAAAAAATCCAAAACACTGAAGGTATTTTTACAAAGAACTTGTTTTTTTCCCTTTAAAATGCTTTCTGAAAGATGTTAAACTTTAGAAAAGTTTTAGGCATGATCCAAAAGAACTGTCTCAAACTAAACTGCAAACAAATAAATTACTGTAGCCATCAACAGTATAAATTATACTCATAGATAAATTATGCTATAGTAAGGTTGATAGCAACAGATTTACAAACTTTAGCCCAAGGCCCTAGATCTGATCCCCAGCACATTCGCCCTATCAATAAAAAATAACATTTCCTTCAAAACACTGACTCCCTGACTCCTCAATCCTCTAAGTGTTTTATCTAATTTGCTTACACTAAATATGAACTGAAGGCGAGGGGAAGAAACCTATTATTACTGTTACATTATATTTTGAACATTTTATCACTCTGTTAATAGTTTCTTCGAAAATGAATACCAAAGAAATAATTGACTCTGTTTTACAGAAAAACTGAACAATAAGAACGCCATTTTCTATGACAAAGTTCTGCTATATTTTTGGCTTATGAAAATATAAGATCAGTTACTTCACTGGTACCTTGGAAAGCTAAGAAGTGTTGGAACATGGCAAGTTAGATGAAAGACCTTTGGACATTTTTCACAGCACAAGAGATCCCCTCCATTTTGGCAGACAGCACACCAGTCTTCATTCGGGTCATCATCTTTGTTGTTGCCATCTCCTCCAATCCTTGCTGACCTGTGAATGAGGCTTCGAATTGGAGACTTTCCATTAACTAGATTGCTGAGCCCTGACTGCTTGCAGCTTTCATTCATATCTGCAGGTTCAGATTTCACATGGTTTTCCAGGCTTGCTAACGCATCCAACTCACTCTCTAAATGCAGGTTGGTTGACAGAGGTGGTGTCAAGCTACTCTCAGGACTGCTCAACTAAAACAAAAACAAAAACAAAAACGAATTCTTGAAAAATCATTTAATCCTTATTGTAATCACTGTGTGTTTAAAAATTTATAGTAATTTATCCATACAGATATATACAAATATAAAAACTATTACAAATAAGGATTTATACACTACTAATCCTTATTGTATACACTGTGTTTAAAAACTATTTTGTAAATCCTGTTAGTGACATGAAGGAATGAAAATAACTTTCAAATTATTTAGGCACATTAGTACTGAGAGAGAATTAGAGCAGTTTATTTTTCCTTAAAATTTTTTTTTTTGTCTTTTTCATTTATCGGTACCGGGATCGAACTCACCAACCGCCTGCTTGCAAGGCAGGTGCTTATGCCGCTGAGCTAAATCCCCAGGCCCCAAGCAGTTTATTTTTCTAACTGGACTATTGTCTAACATTTGAGAACATTTTGGTTAGGTATGGTGACACATATCTGTAAGTCACAGGTATCTGCAAGGCTTAAGGCAAGTGTGAGGCTAACCTAACCAACTTAGTGAGACTATGACTCAAACTTAAAAATATTAAGGAGTGTATACACACTGGAGATGTAGCTCAATGGTGAGCGTGCTTCTGTAACATAGGTTCAATCTACAGTACAACCAAGGAGAAAGAGAAAGAAAATGAATTCTGTTATATCCTCTGCCTATCATTCTACCAATATAGGAAAACTGTGACTGTGTAAAATAAATCTTACAAATATGTGCCCATTTTTATGAGGGTACTTTCCAAACAAGGTCTGGAAGAAACCTAAAGGTAACACTCCTTTAAAACTAAGGCTAGCAGCACAAGTGCCTGCCTGGCAAGCATGCAAGGTCCTGAGTTCAATTCCTGACACCAAACAAAAAAACAACAATAAAAACAAAACCAGAACAACCGCTAAATTTGTTGATCTCTAAATCTACTTACTATAGTGAATACATTATTAGTCTGAGATGAAATTCCCGTGTTCTAACCATGTAAGAAGTACAACTGAAGCCTGAGCAGAAAAATACCCAAATTTTGAAAGGAAGAGGGGTTCAGTCTTTTTTCATTCAGTATTTTATAAAATATTCCAACCTAGGAACTCTAGAATGAGTAATTCATAAGCCAAAAAGGCAATTTTCCCACCACAAGTTTTTATCAGTGAACTTTTTAACAGCATTTTTAATGCTGAGCTCATAGGTGAAGAACAGTATGGGATTTGTGTGGCCTGAGATTCACTGTTAATACTGAAATGATTAATAAATTCTGAACAAGATAGCATCCAATTTACTATCATGGCAAAAATATTAACTAAATACAATTTCAAAGGTTCTTTCAAATGAGTAACTCATGCATTACTTAAGCATTAAGCATCTTCACAAAGACCCTTCTGACGAATTATATCTGCCTCTCTGACCAAAAAACTAAATCAGGAAAAGATACTTGGCTTGTATCAAGCATAAAAATTCAAAGATAAATATATATTCCTAGAACTTCTGTTCATACTAACACAATATGAGATGGAAGAGTCAGTGAAATGACTGTGTCTAAGAACTTACCATGCAGGCACTTCTCCTCCCATCCTCAGTCTTTTCCTGTTTGACAGCTCCTGAAAAACTACAGACCTCATCCTCAGTCCCAGGTTCTTGCTTGACTTTCACTTGATCAGATTTGAAACTAAGGCCAGTCTTCTCAGTAGTTCTTCCTGATGACCCACAGCTGATGAAAAACAACAAGTACAAGGTCACAGGTTTGATTGTAGGGTACAAAAAACAAAAAAACAAACCAAAAAACCCCAACCAATTAAGAGTCGTGTCTGTCAAAGAGAAGATAACAGACAATTACTTTATAGAAGGCAAACATACCTCAAAATGCCTAGGTGGTACAAGCCTAATTTCAAATTTCCTTAAAATGTAAATTAAACATTCAGAAGATCCTAGAAATAAATTTTATGGTCTGAGGCACTGATAATAACAATTTATAAGTTTAGTAAACAATCATTTTCCCAGGCCAATACAAGTTGAGTACTTTCACCTGAGCTGCTTTGCATCAGAACTATTTATCAGGTATTTTTGGCTTCTGAAATACAATGGTACCTTGGTTCACGAATGCTTTTATTTGTGAACAGTTTGGTTCAGAAACATTCAACAAAATTTTGTTTTTTGTTTGCAAACTCTGCATTAGGTGATGAACATAATTACAACCATCTTTCCAACATAAATATAAACATGGCCATCTTTTCCAGACTTGTGCAATGAATTAAATTCAGGTGCAACTGTAATTTTCCACTTTAGGTTTCAAGTTGGCATTCAGTATTTTGGGATTTGGAGGATTTCAGATTTTCAGATTAAGGATGTTCAACTTACAGTGCAAAACATCATTGACTACTTCTCCTACTAATTTCAACCATTCTCATTCTCTTCAAACATCTAAAAAACAGTGGTTCATTGAGTCTCAGGAAGATTATTCTGGTCTTTTGGAGAAGGAGGTTGAAACAAATGATAATGATTAGTAGAAATGACTTGGAATATCTTCTTTGGATCAATGTAATGACTGGTCAGTTCTACCTACAGCACAGAGCAAAACTACTATAAGAGAAGTGAATAACTATTAAGACTGTATTGCTACTAAGAATGAACACTTTTCACTCAGTTGTTATTTCTCTTCTAAAAGTATTATTTGAAGCATTACTAAAAAGCCGATCAACTGTTTAACAGACCAGTCTACACACGTGCACACACCATTTATGTGCCTTAAATACCTATATTCTGTATTGAATTATTCAAAGTAGAAAACAGTACAAGTAATATTTATTGTATTTTTATCTCAAAAATCACAAGTATTCCTATGTCTTAGCTGTATCACTGAAAAGAATTAAATAGTCAATAATCTAGGGCAGTGAGTGAGCATAGTATTTAGAAAACTGTCTACAAATATATTTTCTTATTAATTTGATCAAGATTTTTTGGAAAATGGTAAATTCCAGAACAGAGGCAAGAAACATACAAGACAAACCTGGTGTTATTTCACAGGAAACAAAGAGGCTTTCGAAAACTACTAGGTTATAGCAAAAGGACTAAAACGCCAACCCCAAAATTTGACAAGCTAAAAATTGAATAATTTGGCCAGGTGTGGGGGGGCATGTTTGTAATCTCAGCATTTGGGAGGCTGAGGCAGGAGGATCACCGTGTTGGATGCCAACCTGGGCTACATAAGTGAATTCAAAGCCAGCCTGAACATAGCAAAACCAGCAAAAGAAAAGGAAAAAAAAAAAAAAAAAAAAAAAAAAAAGTGTGACAAAGGTAGGTATGTGGGTTTGTTAGCTGGGGATACAGTTCAGCAGCACAGCACCTGCCTGGCAAGTGTGAGGTCCTGAGTTCAATTATTAGTACCCAAGGTGGTAGGGTGGGATGGGGAATAACAAATCCTTGAAGCAGACAAACTTTCAAAAATTGAAGAATTTAAGATACCACTACAATTCATAATCAAATTTATTAAAGCATTGAAAATATGTTCATGTATATGATTTCAAAAAGGCAATAATAAAAAAACCCTCAAGTAGTCACTCTTGGAGGCTGCTGATAATCAACTCATTATCATGAAAGCAAGTAAATACAAAGAATTTACCTTATTTCTCCTATAACCCGATAACTGAAGACTAAGTTTCTTTACAAAAACATTCTAAACCAGTAAATAAGGAATGATACAGCAATTAAAATAACACTTTTTAACTAGTAAAAAATTAATGACTTTTAATGATTGTCACCACAAAACCAAAAAGCCCCCGATAGACACTGTGCCTTGATGGAAGTACACAGTACTATGATGAAGTATTCTTGCCCTCTTTCCTCAAATCCATTCTGAATCTGATCAAACTTGATCTAAATGCCAACAAAGACCAAAAGATATGGGAGGTAGTACATTTCAATGACAAAACAAGAGAAAGGGAAAATTACAGGACAAACAACTGTATCTCCAAAAAATACATTAATGTTAATGTAAATATATCATTTGATACCAGAGCTTTTTAAAATATGATTCAACGAAATTTCTAGCCAGCTAGGGTGCCACACATCTGTACTCCCAGCATTCTGGGAGGCTGGGGTAAGAGGATCTCAAGTTTGTGCTTAGTTGAGGCAACCTACAGAGACTCAATGTCAAAATTAAAAGGAAAGGCAAAGGATGTAGGTCAATGCAAAGGCCTTGGGTTTAATCCCCAGCAACCACCCCAAATAATTTACTCGTCAAGAGGAGCACTTATGGCAAAAACAACTGGAACCCTTGGATATTAACTGGACCCATACTGATATTATTAAAGAATTAATTGTTCAAATTTTAGGTATAGTAATTGTCATAAATTTAAATATTTTTGCTTTTCTTTTTAAAGACAGGATCTCTCTTGCTATGTAGTTCAGTCTAGCCTTGAACTCACTATGGAGCCCAGGCTAGCCCAAACTAGCAGTGATCATCCTGCTTCAACCTCCAGAGTGCTGGGATTACAGGCATGCACCACAATGGCCAGCTCCTAAAATTTCTTATTATTGCTGGGTATGGTGACATGCATCTGTAATCCCTGCTACTTATTTGGGAGGCTGAGGCAGGAGGAGGATTACAAATTTCAGGCCAGTCAAGGGCAACTTTATGATACCCTCACTCAAAATAAAAAATAAACAAAAAGAGCCAGAGACATAGCTCAGCCGTATGGTGCATGCCTAGCACATGCAATGTCTTTGGTTCAGTTTCTAGTATAAACAAATAAGCAAACACAAACAAAAAAAGGATAGTAAGTGATACTGTAATTAGTTACAAATGTCTATAGCCACACCAACCTGAACGTATACAATCTCATCTGAAATAGTCACAAGTAAAATGATAGGATGTCTAAGACTTGTTTCAAAATAACAGACCAAGACCAAGAAAGTATATAAAGGAAATAAAATTGGTCATAACTTAATCATTGTCAAAACAGGGTTAAATATATACAGAGGTTACAGTCTACTTTTATTAAATAGAAGCTTTTCTATGCTGGGATTGGAAGTCCATCTGACCCAGTCTTTCCACTTCTGGGAATATTACCAGAAGAACTGAAAACATCATATCACAGTGATATATACACCATGTTTATAGCAGCACCATTTGTAATAGCCAGATCTTGGAAACAACTTAAATGTCCATCAACTGAGGAATGTATAAAAAAGATGTGGTACTTTTATACAATGGAGAACTACTCAGCTATAAAGAATGATCACATTTGTCTCTATAAAGAATGAGACATAAGTAAATGGATGCAACTTGAGACCATACTCATTAAGTGAAATAAATCAAATACACGAGTAAATATCGTATAGTCTCCCTAGTGTAAGAAATGGTAAGAGTACATAAGATACAAAATTCTCAATAAACACAATGAAAGGGTAAGAATCTGCTCAAAGGGGGAAAAAACATTTCAGGGAAAAGAAGGAAAAAGAAAAAGGAAGGGAAAAGAAAAAATATCTAAATTCGTATAAACACACTTAGGATAGCTAAGATAACTGTGCTACAAATTCTTTAAGTTTTTGGAACAAAATAGTTAACATTCATAGAACTGGAACAATTTTGCATGTTTGTGTCTGGTGATCTGAGAAACTCTTAAAGATCACTATGTAGGTAAAATAACCACCTTAGTTACGTTCCTACTACCTTGAAGGCCTGTATCATCACTGTTTTGCGCTCTTTGCTATTGTTGTCTTTTTTTCTAGTAATCTGTTTTATTTTTTCCTGTGATACAGAAAGGAGAGGTATACATGTAGAGGCTTATATATAGGTAGAACTTTCCCTAAACAGTTTATGAGAATCAATTATACTATGCATGATGAAATGAACAGCTACTTTTAAGAAAAAAAGACATTATGGTATCCACTGCTGATTCTGTAGCATTTTGATGTGAAATCCAGCAACACTATTATTCTGTGTTCAGAGTGATTTTAGTCTGTTTCGTATTGTTTAATTTCAACATACATGAAGGTATGGACAGTTACTTTTAAGAGAATAAGAGACATTATGGCAACCACTGTTGATTTTCATACTGGCTGGTTTTGAAGGCCTGTAATGGCTTCATTACTCTGTTCTGATCAATGTTATACTATTTTGTTTTGTATTAATTCATTGTGTGTGAAGATATAGACAACTACTTAGAAGAAAACAACAGACATTACGGTAGTCACTGTAGATCTCCTATTGCTTTGAAATCTGTGTCACATTGTTTTCTTCTGATCTGCTTTGTTGTTTTGTTATGTTTAGTTTTACTCTCTTTAAAATAAAAAATTAAAAAAGCTTTGCTTAAAAAAATAACACTTCCGACTTCCGGGAGAACATGGCGGACAGATAACAGCAACTACCAGAGGCTCTCTGAAAGACTCGGCTCAGAAGCCAGGAATGGTGCGGACTAAGGAGACATAAGTCGGTGGAGATATGCTCTGCCGACTCAGGAACAAACTGGGCTGAGAGAAGCCAACTTGGAATGCAGTCCTGCTGCTAAAACAGGAACAGAAAAGACTCGGTGTGGAGGCTGGACCCCGCGCCATTGTAAGCCGCGATTTGGGTTTCCCGCCGCGCGGCGGCTGGCTACCTCTACACTGGCTCGGCAAGGAGAGAGACGCGCAGAAGCTCTGAGAACGGCAATCTGCGAACGGCAGGGAGGCGTGCACTGACTTGTGGTGAGGTGAGTGAGAGAAGCTGAC